AATTACTAGAAGAATGAGAAATCAAAAGTAGGAGAATGTTGCTGAACTGGCCTCAAGGATCTCTGGAAAAGCAGGCCAAACATTTACACATCAAAGGCAGGGGATGAGGAACCTGATCAACTATCAGGGGTGATTAGATAGCAAGGGCAGGGGATTGACTGAGCAGGATTCTTTGCTAAGACTGGCTTAGGCAGGCCAAGGACAGAGCCCAAGGATAAACCCTTATCAAACAGAGGGTTCAGAGGAGTCTGTTTAACCTTTGGTCAAGCATAGAGTCTTTGTCACATGAGGCTTGTACACTGAAAACTACAAAACATTGTTGAAAAAACTTAAAAGAAGACCTCAATAGATGAAAAAGCATCTCATGTTCCTGGATCAGAGTTTAATATTGTAAAAACTGGTAATACTATCCAAACTGATCTACAGATTCAACACGATCCCTATCAAAATCCCAGCTATTTGTTTTCAGAAACTGACAAGCTTACCTTAAAATTCTTATAGAAATGATAGGTACTCAGAATAGCCAAAGCAATCTTTAAAAAAAGGACAAGGTTGGAAGACTCATACTTCCTGATTAAAACTTACTACAAATCTACAAAACTCATGACAGTGTGGTAACTGCCATGACGACAAACACAGCACTGGCCAAAACTGACAGCACAGATAAACCCATTCATCTATGGAAATTTAATTTTTGATAAGGTACTAAGGCCATTAAATGGGAAAATAAGAATCTTTTCAACAACTGGTATTAGGACAACTGGATATACATTTAAGAGAATTAAGTTGGATCCCTTCCTTTATACACAAATAATAAAATAGATCACAGACCAAATGTAATAGCTAAAATTACAAAACTCTTAGAAGAAAAAGAGGTAAATGTTTGTGACCTTGGCTTTGGCAATGGTCTCTTAAATATGACATCCAAACAACAAGCAACAAAAGAAAAAATAAATTGGACTTCATCAAAACTAAAAACTTCTGTGCTTCAAAGATTACTGTCAAAAAAATGAAAACACAACCCATAGCATGTGTGAAAATATTTGTAAATCATGTCTCATAAGGGTATAGTATGCAGAGTAAACAATGAACTCTTATACCTCAACAATAAAAAGACAACCCACTTAAAAATGACAATGGATTTTGAATAGACATTTCTCCAAAGATATACAACTGGCCAATTCACACATAAAAAGATGCTCGACACATTAGTCATCAGGGAAATACAAATCAAAACCACAATAACATACTATTGCGCACATACTAAATTGGTTCAAATAAAAAAAGACATCATAAATTTTGCAAAGATGTGGAGAAACTGGAATTCTCATGCATTGCTATTGGGAATGTACTATGGTGCAGCCACTTCGGGAAAGTTTGGTCTTACTCAAAATGATAAACTAGGGGTTTCCATGTGACCTAGCAATTCTACTCCTAGGTATATACCCAAGAGAACTGAAAACATGTGCTCACACAAAAACTTGTATACTAATGTTCACAGAAGCATTATTCATAACCAAAAAGTAGAAACCATCAAAATGCCCATCAACTAATAGATAAAGTGAATGTATCAATACAATGGAATATTCAGCCATAACAAGGAATAAAGTACTGATACATGCTACAATAAAAAATTCAAAATCATTATGTTAAGTGAAACAAGCAAAGATAAAAAAAAAAAAAAAGGCCACCAGACTAGGCAACTCTATACAGACAGAAAGGAGGTTAATTGTTGCATAGGGCTGCAGTTTGAGGGGAAAAGAGGAGTGACGGTAAGTGGGTGCAGGACTTCATCCAGGTGGTGATGAAAATGTTCTAAAATTGATTGTGGTGATGGCTGTACAACTCTGATAGTAAAAACCACTGGATTGTATACTTTAAATAGGTTAATTGTATAAAATGTGAACTGTATCTCAGTAAAGCTGTTTAAAAAATCAGAGGGAGATGATTAGAAGTGCTACATTTTTAATTTTCTGTTTCTGTTATTCTAAAAATAAATATGTCATTAAAAGCAGTTGATTAAAAAGTTTCATTTTCTGTAAACATTACGAATGTGCAATCAATAATACTGTAGTAGTTGGCTGCTTTTACTTTCAGGCAAAATGAATACATTTGGTGACCAAAAAAGATGAAAAACAAGAAACTATTTTTTCAATAGGTTCTCTCATCTGCATCTAGACATATAATTAAAACTAATAGCCAATGAAAGGAAATCACTTCAAATAGCCAAGACACACACAAACAAATGTTTCTGCCTTTTGATTATTAATCCCATTCCTAGGAATTAATCTTAAGAAAATAAGACAACTGTAATAGCCAAAACACATTTATAACACAACTGTTACTGTAACACAAGCTCTAAATCAGTGCTATCTAAGAGTGCGCTACTGCTTTAAGTCTCTAAACACACTGTTCAGTCCAACTGAGATTTTCACAGTAAGACATTCTTGATGAAGGAAGCACAGCACTGATTTACATTCTGAAGCAAGCTCCTTATCTGTTGCAAGCTGTTGTAAAACAGCACGCTGAGTGCCACTGCTATACAGAATCAAAGTCTCCAAAATAAGAACATGATTGGTAACCTATGATATAACTCAATCCATTACTGTATGAACATGGAGCAGACTAACAACAGCTAACAATCATTCAGCTTTTACTATGTGCCAGCCACTGTACAAAGTGCTTTACATACATTATTACCTCTTTTATACTATTTGCAGATTTGGAAATAAAGGTAAGAGAATTGATCAAGGGCTAACAGCAAGAGAATTGATCAAGGGGTAAGAGAATTGATCAAGGGCTAACAGCAAGTAGGAAGTGAAACCAGGACTCATTCTCAGGCATATACAACTTCAAGTTTAATCACTATATTATACTGTCTCCATGAAACTGAATATAAACTATGATTACAAATATGTATATATGTGGATAAAAATTTAAAGGAAAGAAAATGGCAATAAATCTTTAGTATGGTGAAACCAAGAATAAATTTTTTAAAATGTCTGTTCTCGAGCCCTGACTGGCGTAGCTCAGTGGATTGAGCGTGGGCTGCGAACCAAAGTGTCACAGGTTCGATTCCCAGTCAGGGTACATGCCTGGGTTGCAGTCCATGACCCCCAGCAACTGCACATTGATGTTTCTCTCTCTCTCTCTTTCTCCCTCCCATCCCTCTCTAAAAATAAATAAATAAAATCTTAAAAAAAGCCTGTTCTCAATGTGTTAACTATTCTAATAATATAAAAAATAATTCACATAGTAAATCCAAGATTATAAGTGACTAGACATTTATGCAATTTGACAATGTCTCAATTATATATCTTATAAAGCAATTATAAAATCCTTTTTGTTCAATTTTATGGGAGTGATTGTCTGTGAGATATTGCCCTTAAAAGATATATTTAAAAGAGTGGTTCTCAAACTGAAGTGTGCACTGGAATCCTCCAGGGGCTTGTGAGAACACAGATTTCTGGGCTCTAGTCCCAGAGTTTCAGATTCAGTAGGTCTGGAGTGGGACATGAAAAGCTGCATTTCTATCAGGATGCCAGGAGATGCTGATGCTGATGGCCTAAGGACTTAAAGCACTGTGAGAGCCAGTGCTTTAAAAAAAATTAGCATCATCCCAAATCTAAATACCATTGAATAATCAATTTAAAAATAAACTTTAGGAATTTCTCTGGATTATTTTAATGTATTAAACAGGTTCTTGACAACATACGGGCTGATAAAATCTATATATGAGGTCTGTCCACAAAATGTCCAGCCATTGTTAATATAAAGAGGATGTTTTGCGTGACATTGATGTAACCTGGCAGCAAAGGTGAGTGGACTGGAATACACGTGTGTGAACAATGATGACTTCACTGTACTAATCAGTGGGGGCAGTAGATGCCATTGAATGAGCATGTATACTGTGTGGCTGTCACATTCAAAATGACCTGACCGAGCGAGTACAGCAACGAATCTGCATCGAATTTTGCATTAAGCCTGAACATTCCTCCACAGAAACTATTCAGTTAATTCAGAAGGCCACAGCTATGGGCAACTGGTGATTGACAGTTTCATCACAACAATATGCCCACTCATACATCACATCTCATGCAGAGTTTTTTGGCAAAACATCAAATCACCCAGGTGACTCAGCCTCACTACAGCCCAGATTTGGTGCCCTGCAACTTCTGGCTTTTCCCAAAGCTGAAATCACCTTTGGAAGGAAAGAGATTTCAGACCATCAATCACATTTGGGGCAGCTGATGGCAACTGGAAGAACTGTGTGAAGTCCCAAGGTGCCTACTTTGAAGGGGACTGAGGCATCATTGTCCTGTGAATGATGTTTCTTGTATCTTCTTCAGTAAGTGTCTCTATTTTTCATATTACATGGCTGGATACCTCCTGGACAGACCTCGTATATCATAGTTCATATTGCTGAAGAATACAATAGTTTTGGGTCCAATCGTTTCTGTCTATCAAGAGCTACAATCATTCTAAGGAGATTAAATAGTTATACTTTAAGTTATCTACTGATAATATCAGCTGCATACCTCCAGCCAAAATTGACTAAATTATGCTAAATTGCTGAACTGTTGTGAGGGTCTCAGAATTTTTTAATTTTTTTATTGTTGTTCAAGTACAGTGGTCTCCGTTTTGCCCCCCAACCACTGCTCCCTAGTCCCACCCACCCCCACATCCCACCATTGATCCTACCCGCCTTTGGCTTTGTCCATGTGTCCTTTATATACGTTCCTTGACGAGGGTCTCGGAAATTAGTCTGGCTAAGTCAATCAACAATTTTATAATATAGACCAGTCATATAAGTACTAAAAAGAAACCATTCATACAGTAGACACTACCATAGGTAAGTAATCTCCGTATCTTAGCTGATAATTAGCTTCCATTAGTAAGAATAATGAGGTTCTATTTCAGTCTCTCTAGAATAATTTGACCTCTGGTAATCTTATCAAAATTTTTGCCCATATTCATGTGGACTATGCCATCAAACGTACCTATGTTTCTGACCATGATTCCTTTCAGTTCATCCACTTGGGCTTGAGTCTCCATCACTTTGTCAAGGCCCTTATTCTCAGAGTGATGCTTCTGTAAGAAAATAATACTTAACTTATGATACCTAGACACTATTCACAATAGGAAAACAAAAAGAAATGACATTGACAAATGCTATAAAATTAGGTCTCTATTGGTACAAAAAAAAAATGTCACTTCATTAAAAATTGTTACCAGACCTAGGAAAAAATGTAGACAGCATAAAAATTCTACCATATGAAATGTAAGTTACAGTATAAAAATACCACTTTATTTTAAATTAAGTAGAATTAAATGTATTATATCAAATATACATCTGAGACTTTTGGAGCAGAAGTAGGGAGTTCAGACAAAGAAGAACAGAAGACTGTAGTTGTAGCAGGGGAACAGGACTGGGAAAGGGTACGCTAAATTGTTCCCCACTTTTTGGGTATGATGGGGTAGGAAGTGGCCCAGCTTCCAGGCATTGGTTCTTATACCCTTGGGATCAGGGTATGTGTCCTATTTTCATTGGCTTTTTACAGGACCTAGAAATGTAATACACGGATAATATGTATTTTGAAATTACTATCCATAGCTGACAATTATGGAGTGCTTAATATACAATGTTCCAGTCATTTCACTGTGTTAAATGCTTCAAAAAGGGGATGTTATTTAATTCACCCAAAAATTCTATGATGAAGATGTCATAATTATTATCTCCATTTAGAGATGAGGAAACTATTCAGAGGGTCACACACAGAACTGGAACTAATGACAAAACCAGCTAAGTTGCAAGTTTGCTGCCAGCTAACTGTTTACTTTTGACTGTGTAGTGGTGTATTTTTGTTGGTGATATTTTATATAGTTTCACATATGAGGGAGGATCCCCAAAGCCCCAGAAAATATTTATTAAAAAATGTGTATTTATGATGCCTTTTAGAGCTTCTGCTGTTTTTTGTTTTACCTCTTCCACATTGGCAAAACATTTCCCTTTGAAGACTTTTTCATTCAGGGAAACAAAAAAAAAGTTGCTTGGGGCAAGATGGGGTAAATATGGAGGGTGGGGCACAGGGATCATGCCGTTTTTAGTCAAAAACTGAACACTCAACACAGTGTGGGCAACTGCAGTCATAAATCACTCATCATGACATCAAAATTACAACTAAATTATAGAACAACCATCACTCAGATCTGCCAGAAATCGAGTTGAATGGAAGTCTGACCACTACAGAATTGAATAAATCACATCCATCCAGGGTGGTAGGAGGCACAGAGGCACAGAACAGGTTGGTCCCAAATCCACGTGTAGTGGATAAGTTTGGCAGGGATCTCTTGGGAGCAAAGAGTCCCAGCCTCACACCAGGCCCCCCAGCCCAGGATTACAGTACCAGGAAGATAAGTCCCCATAACTTTTGGCTGCAAAAATCAGCAGGGACTTAGTTGGCAGAAGAAACTTCTGTAGTGTTAGGCAGTTCCTCTTAAAGATCCCACACACACATGCCATGGCTGGTGGGGCTCACTGGATTGAGTGCCAGCTTATGAACCAAAGGGTCGCCAGTTCGATTCCCAGTCAGGGCACATGACTGGGTTGCGGGCCAGGTCCCCAGTAAGGGGCACATGAGAGGCAACCACACATTAATATTTCTCTTCCTCTCTTTCTCCCTCCCTTCCCCCTCTCTAAAAATAAATAAATAAAATTCTTTTTTTTTAAACGATCCCACACAAGGACTCACCTACTCAGACTCACTCCCTCTAAGCTCCAACACCAGGTAGCCACTTGAAAGGTACCAGTGACATACATGGAGGAACCAAAGTATCTGGCATCGAGGGGAGAACAGGGGGACAGCTTTCTCCCAGAGAGAAAGCTGGGCAGAGGCCACTGTCCCTTTTCTGAACCCTCTTGTCACAGAGCCACAGAACCCTCTTGGCAGCAGGTGCCATATTGGAGACTCCATCAATCTGGTTTTCGCTGTGCTGGAGATCCCCTGAGACTCTGCCCACCCAACTTATAGACCCACCCAAGCTTTTCCATATGAACACAACTCATGCTTCACAACTTCCTAAATCCTCTCAAACAAGTAGCAGCTGGCCTCAGTGAGGCCCCCAGACCCATACCTCTTGTTAAGTGCCCCCCCCCATGCCTGGCACTAGTCACAGCCAGACTAGATTCATACCTTGGCTTTGCCTGGGAATCCCCAAGCCCAGTATAAGTAGCAGCCATCTCAGATTGCTTTATAGTCCAGGCAGGGTGACTCTGGGAAAAACACCGGTGGGGGCTGACCTTGGCCTAGACCACCTGGGAAACCCCAGAGCCTGTGCACCCAGTGGATAGGTATAAGCCATGTTGGAGCATCACCACCCTGCCAACTGCACAGCTGATCCTCCACAGAGGGCAGAGGTTGGTGGTCAGTGGTCACAGCCAGTCCTTGCAGCTGACTGGTCTGGGTAAGTTCCTCCCAATGACCTGCCAACAGCAACCAAGGCTCAACTACAAGAGGGTGTACTCAGCACACACAAATGGCACACCTCGAGTACATAGCTTGGATGTTAAGGGAGGCCATGACACTGAACACTACAGGACACCTACTACATCATACATTAGGCCATGCTACCAAGACAGGGAGTCACAGCAGCTCTACGTAATACATAGAAACAAACTCAGGGAGGCTGCCAAAATGAAGAGACAAAGAACCATGGCCCAAATTAAAGAACAGATTAAAACTCCAGAAAAAGAACTAAACAAAATGCAGGTAAGCAATCTATCATAGGCAGAGTACAAAACACTGGTTATAAGGATGCTCAAGGAAATTAGTGAGGACCTCAACAGCATAAAAAAGATCCAATCAGAAACAAAGAATTCACTCATTGAAATGAAGAACAATTTACAGTGAAACAACAGTAGAGTGGATAAAGTCTACAATCAAATCAATGAGTTGGAACATAAGGAAGCAAAAACAAGCAATCAGAACAATTAGAAGAAAAAAGAATCCATAAATATGAGGATAATGTAAGCATCCTCTGGGCAACTTCAAGCATACCAACATTCACATCACAGGGGTGCCAGAAGGAGAAGAGAAAGAGCAGGAAATTGGAAATCCATCTAAAAAAGTAGTGAAAGAAAACTTCCCTAATTTGGTGAAGGAAATAGACATGTAAGTCCAGGAAGCACAGAGTCCCAAACAAGATGCATGCAAAGAGGCCCACTGCAAGACACATCCTAATTAAAATGCCAAAGGTTAAAGATAAAGATAGACTCTTAAAAGCAGCAAAAGAAAAGATATCAGTTACCTACAGGGGAGTTCCCATAAGACTGTCAGCTGATTTCTCAAAAGTAACTTTGTAGGCTAGAAGGGATTGGCAAGAAATATTCAAAGTCATGAAAAGCAGAGACCTACAGCCAAGACTGCTCTACCCAAAGAAACTATCATTTAGAATCAAAGGTAGATAAAGAGCTTCCCAGACAAGAAAAAACTAAAGGAGTTCATCATCACCAAACCATTATTATATGAAATGTTACAGGGACTTATTTAAGAAAAAGAGTATCAAAACTATGAACAATAAAATGGCAAGAAATACATATCTATCAACAACTGAATCTAAAAAACAAACTAAGCAACAAGAACAGAAACACAATCTTGGATATGAAGAGAGTTTTGATGGTTACCAGATGGGATTTGGTTGTAAGGAATGGGTAAAGAGGTGAGGGGATTAAGAATTACAAATAGTGCCCTGAGTGGAGTGCCTCAGTGAATTGAGTGTTGGCCTGTGAACTAAAGGTCCACTGGTTCAATTCCCAGTCAGGGCACATCCCTGGGTTGTGGGCCAGGTCCCCAGTAGGGGGCGCATGAGAGGCAACCACATGTTGATGTTTCTCTCCCCCTCTTTCTCCCTCCCTTCCCCTCTCTAAAAATAAATAAATGAAATCTTTTTAAAAATTACAAATAGTTACAGAATAGCCATGAGGATGTAAAGTACAGTATAGGAAATGGAGTAGCCAAAGAACTTATATACATCACCCACGGACATGAACAATGGTGTGGGGATTGCTGGAGGGAGTGGGGGGTACTGGGTGGAAGGGGGCAAAGGGGTAAATATTAGAACTGTAATAAGATAATCAATAAAATATAATTAAAAAATAAATCACCCATGATGAAAAGGACAAATGCATGGAGTCTTAAAAAAAATTCACTGAAACCAAATGCAGCCTCTCACAACAACGCCAGCTGGTACACTGATACAGACGGGTTCCTAGAACACTCACCTGCTGGGGGAAGTCTGTACTACAAGGGGCCTGCCCTCCCAAAGATAATTCCAGTTATTTTAGTGTACCCCCTCACATATGAATGTTTCCTAGGGGGAAGTACAAATCAACTAATTGTATAATAAAAATTTATAACTATTTAAAGAAACTTCATCACCCAAAGTAATGCATTTTTAGAAGTATAATACTCAAAAAGAATATTAAAAAGAACACTTACGGGAGAAGTGAAAAGGAAAGTATTCAATCATAGTAAGTTTTTTCTCATTCACGACACACTCAGAACTTGTGTCATTGCACTCAGAAAGGTGCATAAAGCTAAGCATTTTTAAGGTTTCAACACCATTAGTCCTTGGGGAAATGCTGATTAAAAGCATAATAAAATATCACTAGATACCTACCAGAATGACTAAAAGATGGACCATAACAAGTGTTGGCAAGGAAGCAGAAACACTGAAACTGCTGGTGGGAATGTAAATGGTGCAAGTACTTGGGAAAAAGTTGGTGACTTATTATAAAATTAAATAACACTCATCATATGACCCAGAAATTCCATTCCTAGGCACTGTATTTTGCCATGTTTAATGCACACCCACATTTTTGGTGCATAAGTATAAGTAAAAGGATTAAGAACATTTATATAGATAAGGAATTAGTGCTACCCATGTACAATGCACATCCTTATCTTCCCCTCAAAAATTTGGGCAAAAAGTGCACATTATACTTGGAAAAATATAGTATTTACCAAAGACAAATAAAAACACATCCACGCAAAGACTAGTACATGGATATTCATAAGAGCTTTATTCGTGATAGCTGAAAACAGACAGTACCTCAAATATCCAGCAACAGGGAATGGATAAGCCAGTTGTGGTATATGCATATATACTGCTAGGCAAAAGAAGGGAACTATTGATTTATATGACATGGATGAATATCAAAAGCCTTATAGTGAACAAAACAAGCAAGAAACACAGGAGTCCATAATTTGTGATTCCACTTACATGAAGTTATAGAAAAGACAAAAAACTATAGTGAAAGAAAATAGCAGTGATTACCTGAGGCACAGTGTGAGGGATAGGACTGACTGCAAAGGGACCTGAGGGAACTTTTAGTGTCGTGGCGATGTTTGGTATCTTGCAGAGGGTAATATTTCACAGGAATATACATGTGTAAAACTTCACTGAGCCAACAATTAGGCATGTATACAGATGCCTAATTGTAATGTAAACAGACTTTCAAATGACTACTTTGAGCTGTTCAAAAATTAAATTTGTCTCACAGAACAGAAGGTCAATGAATAGGTTAAGAGGCCATTTGGCATGTGGAATGGATGTGTGCTAATGGACAGTTTAGGTAGATAATCTTTAATGTCTTTCCCAATCCTGAGATACTCTATTATTAATAGTGAATATCACCAACTATTAGCTTTCTACCTTAAAATGGCCCCTTCAACTTTTTTATCAGGGAAATTTTATTATGTTGGAATATAATAACACAATCAGCAAACTATATTGCAGTTCAGGGACCTCTATATTCATGGCGCTTTAAGGTAATAAAGACAACATGAATAAAAATACTATATCCGGAGAAAGATCTTACCAGCTGTGCAGCCAAGACACTTGAGAATTCACTATTCATGGCATATGGGAGTGCTGTCTGTGCTCTTGAACCATACGTAGTCTGGAACCTCTTCTTTATCTCATTCAGAAAATTAAAGGCTCGGGAACGTTCAAAATCCTGAAGAGAGACCAACACAGAGTTCAAAAGCAAACAAAAGATGACATGGATGATTAACAACAACCATAAGAAAAGCTAACATTTACTGAGCAATGATTCCATGAGAAGGAACTAACACTGACCTCATTTTACAGATAAGTAAACAAAGTCCCTGAAAAGGTAACTAACAGCTAAAGGTCAGATAACTAGTAAATGAGTGAGCTCAGAGTCCAATCCAAACATGTTTGACCACTGCCAACTGAAGACAGCAGAATGTAGGTTAGTTTCTTAAGAGCGGGAATTGGGTTTTACTTCCCCCATATCCTTCACAGGATCTATTAGATAGCCCAGCACAAGATGTCCAACAAATTCTAATAACAGTATAGTGTTTCATACACAAAGATAACACTACTGACACAAATTTAGAACTGATTTTTTTCAATAGTGGTGATACATTTGAAAAAAAATCAAGCGATGTACTCTTGTCTGGTTCCAGCTAGTCAAAAAGTATTTTTAAACACACACACACACACACACACACACACACACACACACACACACACACACAATTACAGATCAATAAATAAGACTCAACTCTGACCAGCCCAAAGTTAATGGGATTTATTTCTCATCTACTCCAAGCCCTTTGACTTCAGTTGTTTTAGATATAGCTGCCTTTAAAAAATAATTTGTAAAAAATCCTGTAAGAAACCAGAGACAAAAATCACCATGCGGATCACTGTGGCTGACATTCATCTCCATTCACCTGAGGTGGCTGTCTAAGCCAGGGGCTCTCAAACTGGGGTCAATGGTCCAAACTCAAGGGGCCAATGTACTTAGATGGAATAAAAACTACATTGTTATTTTTACCAATCTTTTTTTCCCACAGTTGTTTTTAATAGGTTTATTGAAATATAATTTATAATGATTACCCATTTTAAATGTATAATTTTATTTTATTGCTGTTCAAGTACAGTTTTCTGCCTTTTTCCCTCACCTCTCCCCACAACCCCATCCATCCCCACCTCCTTCCCCTGTTTCCACCCCTCCTTGGTTTTGTCCATGTGTCCTTTATAGTTGTTCCTGAAAACCCTTCACCCTTTTAAACTTATACTTCAATTGTGAATGTAGGTAGCAAACCAGAGTAGTATTATTAGAGGGTACCTAGGAGTCTGTCACCAATAGAAATATTTTTTTCATATGCCACCAGTGATAGACATTTCAAAATGTGATTTATTCTCCACTTCAAAATTATTATTATTAGTTATTAGATCCATGACTAGATCTTATTAATGAATTCATAAAGAAGCATATATACATTACTATGTCAATTTTTAAAATATTGTGAATACTATCTTTCAATATACTTGGTTTGGTTTATAGTCATGTACTTTACTTCATATTTTATAATGTGTCTTCACAGGACTTTTCTTTCCTCTAGGAAAAAAGTTGAATTTGTACTGATACTGCTTAACTCATGATTCTCCCCAACCCTGTTAAAACAAAATGATGGACCAGTGCTCAATAAAGTTCTATATCATAAAAAAAAAAAACATTCTTGGAGGGGACCATGAGTGTCAAAGGGGTCTGTGACACAATAAAAGCCAATACCTGGCTTTCCAGCCTGGCTGGAATAGCTCAGTGAATTGACCACTGGCCTATGAACTAAAGGGTCGCTGGTTCAAATCCTAGTCAGGCCACATGCCTGGGTTGCTGGCCAGGCCCCCGGTGAGGAGGGGCATGCAAGAAGCAACCACACATTAATGTTTCTCTCTCTTTCTCTCTCCCTTTCCCTCTCTCTAAAAATAAATAAATAAAATCTTTTTAAAAATTAAAAATAAATGAAAAATAAAAAAGCCAATAACTCATACCTATGGTAATCATATCAATTCCATATCTCTTATCAGTAATCGACTTAGAAATAAAAATGCAGCCTTGTCCTAGCCAATATGACATGAAAGGAAGTCCACTTTCAAAGCAGAGGTAGGGGAGAGTGTGTGCCTGGGAAAAGTTTCCTCATTCCTACAATAACAGACTCGAGCAGAAATAGTCAGTCTTCTCTGGACACAAGCATAAATAAGGGTGTGGCTGCATGCAGCCATAGGGGAATGGGGAATGTGTCTGGGAAGAAGCTGACACTACAGATAGCAGAGGAGAGAAAGGGTCACGGTGACATTGTTAAGTTCAGTGAGTATTTTCAAATACTTAAAGCCAACCTACCAATGTGAACTACAAGTCTACAAAGCTGATCATAGTGTACTGTGATTTCCCCAACGTTCATATACATTAGACAATTCACTAATTACTGACTAGAGGAATGAAATAATTTAATATTTCAGATACATTTTGAGAGGGCTTGATGCCAAAGTGTGATAATTATGAACACCAATTCTTACTACACAATAGGATAAATGTAGAAGTTGCAAGAAGTTAGCTAAAACTCTACCAAAACCAAGCTGATTTGTATATACTCAGATAACGACTCTTGTCATTTGTTGCTCTATATGATAAATGGGAAGTATAGAAAAACATTTCCAGCTGTGGACAGTGATATACATGTCACCTTTACCCACCACAGACACATAGTTAAGAACTGACTCTATTATTAATAGTACACTTAGTTAAATAGCAAATGTCTCCAAGTTACTTACATCATCAGTGATACAAAGGTATACAATCCTGTCTTGGCAGATGTAATGAAACAAATAACTGTAGGATAAAACGCATACAAATTATGTGGTTATGAATAATACATCTTTCACTTCTATCTTCTACATATAAGCAAATTCATATTAATGTGACCATATTTTTACAGATACTGTCTGTTGTTTCTCTTTACCTCCAGTACACATACCTGTTTCTCTCAAACTGATAGGAATGAATAAAAAATTAAAAGAATGTCTCTACCCTAGCTATATAGCACAACAGTGTGCACATTACCAATTAAAATGATAGCTGCATAAATGTATCATTTAGACTCTTACGGCCTGGACACAAGATGACATCTTAGGAGGGTCATGTAAGTAAAATTAACCCCCCAATGAGCCGTGTGGTCTTCCTTGCATTCTCCTAAGATCTCAAAGCAAATACTTTTTGCCTACCAAATACTTAACAATAACATTTGTTTGGTATCTGCTTTGAATTGGTAGCTGGTCTGGGTGCTGAGGATACAAATGAGCAAAATCATCAGTCCCTGCTTTCACAGAGATCACAGTGAAGGTAATTACAGAGCAGCATGGTAAGCAGGATGAGGAATTAAAGTCAGTACATGGTACTCTGGGGACCTACAGGAGGTACCTAACAGAGTTGGGCTAAAGGTAACAGGAAGGATATCCTGGAGCAAATGATGTCTAAACTGAGACCCAAGGAATGAGTAAGAGAAGGCAAGGTAACGAGTGAGCAAAGTATTCCAGAGTGAGAGACCTAGAAACTTAAGGTCTTTGAGCAAATAATGGGTTTAGGAAAGTAAAATTAGTTCATATGATTAGAGTATAAAATGTGAGGGAAAAAACTGACTGTACAGATGAAGCTGCAGAAGTAAGCAAATAGCAGGTTATGCAAAGCTTTAAAACCTCACTATGCATTAGCCTAAGAATAGTGAACAAGGGGAGTGTGTGATCAGATTTGCAATATAGTAAGATGCTTTGGCTAGAGTGTGGAGAACCGACTGCAATGAGGACCAGATAGGAGACTCCTGCATGTAAAAAGCAATGAGGGAAATAAAGTACTATAAGCAGAAGAAGAAGGGACAAAGAAGAAATAGAACAGAATCTGATGATTGGCTACTGGGGGTGAGGCACAGGGATAATTTGACTTTGCCTCCCAGATTTTTACCTTGGGAGTACCTGTTGAATTACATTATTAATGTTTACATAAAGCACAGGTGGCAAACACAAGGCCCTCCCTCGCCTTGTTTTATCCCACCCGACACCTTGTTTCTACCAGGTGGCAGCGCCAAGTTCTCGCTTAACTGTTAAGGAGTAGTTACATTTATACAGTCCTAAAATTACATCTGGCCCTTTGAGGGCAACTGCGAGGCTGATGTGGCTTCCAGTGAAAATGAGTTTGACACCCTTGACATAAAGGCTTGCTGTGAATTACAAGGAGGTATGGGAACCCAGATGTCTTCCTCCACTACTTTGAAACAGTTCACATCCATCCAAAAATGACTTCCACATTGCCATATCTGGTGGTTCTCTCTGAAACATTTAACAGTGTTGACCACTTCCTTTTTTCAGGGAAGTGTTTTCTCTCCACTAGATTTCTTGATACCACACTTGCCTAGTTTATGTTGTCTCTTTCCTCCTTTGTTGATGTCTTCCAGCATCTTTAGCCCCCTGCTTTCTTCACACACACTCCCTTAAGGGCAGCATCTACTCTCACATTCTGTTGTTGATGTTTGTTTTCAGCTACCACAATTACAATGACGATTCCTAAACCTAGATCTGACCTATGTCCTGAGTCATTGGCCTGCATATGCTACTGTCTACCAGACCTTCCAACTGGATATACCATAGACGACTTGAACACATGTCCAAAATGGAAGTCATGCTTTTCCCTACCAAATTTATTTCTCCTAAATCACGCTTGGGGGTAACTTGGTGCAAAGGTGACCAAAGTTAATTAATTAATGAGGCCTGCTACCAAGGAGCCTACAGTCAGGGGACAGAGATAAAAATAAAGTGCAATAATACAGTGCAATAAGTGCTATAATATGAATAAACCAAGGTTCCTAGGGAGACACACAAAAAGGGGGCATGTGGCCCATCTTGGAGTTCAGGGATTTCTACAGGAGGAAACATCTCAGCTCAAGAAGACAAATTTAGATTTGTTAAAAGTAAGACAAACACATTCCAGTAAAAGATACTAGCTACTGCAAAGGTTAGGAAGAGAGAAAGAATAGGCATTGAAATGAAAATAGCTAAGTGCGGCTGAGAATAAAACTTAGGGCTAAAGTAGTGAGAGATGACATCAGAGAAGGGAGCAGGGGCAGATCTTAAAGAATCTTCCAAGTCATGTTAAGGAATGTTACCCTGAGGGGTAGGAGTGGCTCTGCAGGAAGGGACAGGAACAGAACTACCCTTTTACAAGGACTAAAATGATAATTAAGACAGTATTTCCTTTGAGACCTGTAAAATGAGCAAAACTTTACCAGGGGGCCTAGGAGGGGAAGGATATTCCAAGATGCAAAAGCATGAAAAAAATATACTAAGGCTTGAAGTAATATGGCTGGGTCGGGGAATGGCAAGGGATCCTACAAAAACAAGGATAGAAAGGTCAGGAATGAACAAAATTGTGAAGGCCAAGTTTGGGCTTTAGTCTAAAAGTCATGGGTTTTAAGCAAGGAAGTATAATCAGAAATGTGAAATACTTCCTGGTCTTGCCTGTAAAAGGACTGCAAGTGCTTTCCCTGGACATTTTCCTAGAAACTGATTAGAAACACACAGACAGTAAGTCTAATAAATTTTGGAAGAAACTATGAAGCCATAATCAGAATAAGCTGGCTTTATTTTATCCCTCAGGCAACCTGTAGGCCTCTAAACTATACCAGCAAGCAGAAGACTACAAAACCTGCACAGTTGCCAAAGACGACACACTCTCTAACACCCATTTTGAACGTGGCAAAGGGAATGATGGACCAGGAAGAGCCTCCTAGAAAACAAAGCCAGGAATCAGAGAGAAAAGATAAGGAAATATCTCTAATCCATTCCCTGGTTACAACATGGGATCTTTGAAATTGCCGTGCAGTAGTTATTTTAATATTGCTAGGCAGCAGGGACTTCTACATATTTCTTGTTCTTCCTCTTTCTAAAAGGGAGTTTGTAACTTCCACTGTGGTGGTGCTGTTCATATTTCACCCTTGTCTGCTGGTGGGGCTGGAGGAACAGAGGGAACATATGACTTGTCTTTAAGCTTATGGTCAGTGGGTCACAGGAACCAGCCCTGGGCCTGATGGAGAGGACTGTGTATCACCCAGACTCTCTCTGGACTTGGAGCTGGACACAGTAACCAGATGAGTCTTTGGGGACACCTCCTACAAAGAGGAGGTGTGTTCTATCTTGGGAAGAAGAGTATACCCAGACATTTGGGTAGCCCAGAACAGTACACTGCAAGATTGCAAGTTGTTTCCTGATCTCCTAGAACTTCCTGCAGAGTAACAGAGTTTTAGCTGAGCATATGGCTGCACAGCTAGAAATGACACATCCTGGCTTCCCTTCCACATAGATTAGCTACTTAACTACACAGCACATAATAAAATGTAAGCAAAAGCTTCTGAACAGTAAAGTATCAGGCCACTTCTGGGCTTTGCTTTTAAAAATACTGGGCAACCACAGGGAGGTAATAAGAACTGAAGAAGCTGCCTTAGCCAAAGTTGGAAAGCTCTAATTAAAAATGGTTGAGCCACCCCACCCGCTCCGACATACTCACCTCTGGGCTATCTAATTTAAGTTAACACTGTATTTTGGGGTTTCTCTTACAGTAGCTTAGACTAGATCCTAAATTATAGGAGTTAGCCCTAGTAAGCAATGAGGACCTCCTTTTGAGATACGAACTAAGAAAATGAGCATGGGTTAGGTAACAAAAGTTTTTTAAGTATTAATGATGAAGGTTAAGGTACTTTTAATACTAAGACTGCCCATCCATGCCCTGTCCACTCCCTTCTCCAACCAATCAGCACAGTGATCTTTCTAAAGCAAAGCCTAACCATGTCAACTCTGGCTGAAAGCCTTCAGTGCCTTTCCACTGTCCAGGGTGTGTGTATAGTCCAATCTCTTTACATGGCCTATAAGCTCCGACATGACTTCTCTTCTATCCATCTCTCTAGTTTTATTCTTGTCATGCTTGGCACCAGTCACCAAAAACAAAACAAAACAAAACAAAACAAAAAAAAAACACACCTGCATTTCCCTAAACATATCCTTTGATGCGATGCCTCCATACTTCTTTACTAGCTGTTCCTTCTACTTGAGATGCCCTCCACCTACCCACCACCTCTCACACTCTACTACAACTATCTATGCATTTGACTGTCTCCTGCATTAAACTGTAACCTCCACGAGGGCAAATACCGAATTTCTTGTTGTATCTCCAGCACCACACAAAGCAGTTGGCAACAGTCAAGTGCTCAGTAAATATTTACTAAAAGAATGAAGAAATATTATGCATTTTATCTGTTTCAAGTCTCACATATCACAGAGCTCTATAGCAAAATCAGTTTCACATCTCACATTTCCATATCTTTCTTTGAAAGATATCACTTCAAATGATAGAACAAAATAATTACAAGTTAAATTCATAGTTACTAGAACTAGACACGTTCTAAGCTGGCAAAGGTTACTGTTCTGTCAGCTTATTCAAATGATCTACCAATGAGTTTCTTTTCTAGTTTTATACTGTCCTGATTATAATAATAGAATTCATTTCTTTTACCCTCTACCCATGCAAAGCAGAACTCACTTGCCGTGTGAGTACGTTAGTTTGTTATTTTCAGAAGGTATCTTAGCCAGAATCTGCTCTGTCACCTCCAGGAAGTTTCCTCCACACCAAGCATGTTTGGCAAGGATAGTGGTTCCCCTGGCAACAACAGCAAAAAGAATGGCCATGGCTTCAATCTATCAAAAGGAAAAGAGACACACAAGACTCAGAATATTTCTTTGACATGATCTTTCAAAAGTAACTGACTATCATTTAGCAACATCTACCTGGAGACAGTACTGACCAAGACACTCTAACATCAAATGTAACATGTAATTACAGGTTTGACAAGTACACCACAGTATTGTATAAGCTTACAACCTAAATTATGCTGATATGTGTACATATAGAGAGACATACCAAACACACACACATATATTTACATACATACACATATATGTGTGTGTACAATGATAGATAGCTTGCATTTATAAATTATACAGCACAAACTCATGTCACCCTTTAAAAAGCAGTGATGTAAAGATGTCTTCATCCTTTAGTGCAGTAATGCCATTCTGAAAATTTATTCTTGGGAAATAATTCAACAGAAGTTAGACTCTAGATTCATAAAGATACCTATGAACAAGAATAATAGGCCACATTTAGTAAGTGCTTACTATGTGTCAGGCATCATTTTAAGCATTTTTCAAATATTAGCTGATTTAGCTCTCATATCTATAAAAGTATACACTATTATGATACTTATGTTAAAATGAAGAAACTGAAGTATAAACAACTTACATAATTTGCCCAAAATTACACAGCTAGTAAGTGATAAAAGCTGGGGTTTAAACCCAGGCAGTATGGTTCTAAAATCCACAACTTTATCCTTATATGTATACTGCCTCTACCAGAAAGGCATTAATTATCCCAAATAGAAATGAAGTGAAAATAACCCAAACCTTCCACAAGAGAGGGATGATTCTATAAATGATGGCAAGATCCTTCATAAAACATTTCTAAAACAACGCAGCATGAGTTTAAGATTATTTTTGTCATTTTATGAATCTGTACCATTGTTTTCCTACCTATCAGCCCAGTCTGTCTTATCTAATGATATACATTTATGAAACAAATGCCTTCCTAGTCTTCCACTAACTCTTCAACTTAATGTTATTTGTTAACATGTCTCCTTTTATCCAATAAGTCAGTGGTTCTCAAACTGCAGTGTGAATGAGTCATGTTAGGTGGCAGAGTCAGAGCCACTTATTAAAATTTCATTCTTGGCATCATCCCCTGAAATTCTGATTCAGTAGGGCTGAGGTGGGGCCTTGAATATGTATTTAAGACAAGCCTGCCTGGATGCAGATGATTCACACAACCATATTTTGTGAAACACAGCAACAGATATAAAGTGTTTGAGGTCAGGGGAAGCACCAATTCCCTTTTGGAACACTAGCACTGAAGGACAGTGCACAGAGAAGTGCTTGTCTGTCTCTGGAGCTGAACTCCTCTCATTCCATTCTCTAAATGAGTGTGTTCCCCAGAGTTATGTCCTCAGCCATCCTCTTTCTGGATTTCTCCTTACACATTTGTAGCAAGTTATAATTTCCAAATCACTTTTCATACATTACAATCCTTGATTCTAAACCTTCAACTGACCGTGTAACATGCTCCACGTACTGCTCCATTTCTTAAAATCATCATCTGGAAACACTCTCTGCTTCTCTATCTCCTTTTAACTCAAGTTACTATCATCTGGCTTTTGTCCTGAACACTCCACAAAACCATGCTTGCTGAGATCACCAACAGCCTCTCTGTTGCGAAATTAAGTGGTAACTTCTCTATTCTCACCTTACTTGACTTCTCAGAACAGTCAACACCACCAACTAAACCTTCTTTCTTGAAATCCTCCTGCATGCCTAGCTCTCCTGTCTTCTTGCTGAGTCTTCCTACTCTAGTTTACCTCTAAACGTTGAATTTCCACAGGGATTGGTTCTGCACTCTTATCCCTAGATTAGCTCATCTAGACCTGCCCTTTTAAACATGATTTATTTGCTGAAGATACATTGCATGCAAAGATCCAAAACAAAGCAAAAAAGAAACAAAGGCACATCATAACTGAGGGAAAACCAAAGGTAAAACCTAATGTGCAACCAACAGTTGAGGGAAAGGGAGATGAATAGGGAAGCACAAAGACGGGAAAGTGAAAGGAAAGCCAGAGGAGTATGGTGGCCTGGAAGCCAAAGGGAAAGAAAGCTTCAAGGAGGAACAAGTGTCAGGGCTGGGCTGTGTTCACTGATGCACGGTATGACTCGAAAACAGTCACTGAAATTTTATAAGGAAGGAGGTCATTGGTTAGGGTCAAACAGACATGAAGTGGAGTGGAACAAACACACAAAGAGAAACAGAGATGAAAAATCATGTGGTTCCTGACACAGAGATGAAAAAGTAGTAGCCTCAGTCCCTTAGCAATGTGAAGAATAAAACTGAGTTTGGCAACAGTACAAAAACATCTAGTGTCTTAGTGTACCATAAGTTCATTATGAACTGACTTGAGGTAATTACTTAAAAAGCTTATGTAATCTTAAATTACATTAAGAAATAGGGTATCTTGATCTCTTTAAGAACTACTGCCATTATACTCTGTGGTGGTTAGAACACAACTGGAACACTGACTTCAACTCTGGGTATAGTATTTCAAGAATGCACACAAGGGCAACAGTATGGGTGAGAGGACTGGAGATTGTATCGTTTGAAGACTGTCTAGAGGAACTAGAAACATTTAACGTAAAAAAAGAGAAGACTTAGAGGGAATGTCTTAAAGAAGACAGCAGTCTTCAAGTTTATATAAAACAGTCACCTAGAACAGGGTACATTATTTGGAATATAATTAGGAACAATGAAGATAAATTATAGGGAAGCAACTTACTGTTCAATTAAAGCAGTCCCCAATTGAAAAACACCTGACTATTAAACATCAAATACATAGCAACAAAAACTTTACTTTCCTCTCAGATCTCACTAATAAGAATTAATTAAAAATCCCACCTATAATCAAGTCTCACCTGCCCCCACTGTAGATCTCTTGCAATAGAATCTGTAATGTTTTTTTTTATTTTAATTGTTGTTCAAGTACACTTTTCTGTCTTTTATTCCCATCCCAGCCCACCCATCCATCCCTCCCCACCTCCCTCCCATTCCCACGCCCCCTAGTTTTTGTCCATGTGTCCTTTATCCTTGTTCCTGTAGACCCTTCCCCCTTTCCCCTGAAATTCCCCTGAAATTCCCTCCCCTCTCCCCTCTGGTCTCTGTCTGTAATGTCTTAATGAGTATTGGGGCAATAGAAACAACTGTGGCATAAATAACACTACAGTTGAAATCAGAAAACCTAGCTCTGCTAATGATTAACAGTATATGAATGTCTAATAAACTATAGAGTGCTATACAAATATAATATTCAAGAAGAAAAAGAATGAAAAGATAAGTCAGAGAGAGAAGAAGAAAAAAAAGATAATGGAATGGAATAGAAAGCCTTGTCTCAACACTATTCTTCTCTGTCCTCTTGCTCACTGCTTGCTTGGTCCCAGAGCCATCATCCCAATTCTATTTCATTCCTGCTCAGAACTGTGTATGAGTTTCCTGTGACTGACATTTTTGAAAAGTACCAATAGCTGCAAGGCTTAAAACAACAGAACTGTATTGTCTCATAGTTCTGGAGGCCAGAAGCCCCAAATCAAGATGTTGGAAGGGCCATGCTCCCTCTGAAATCTGTAAGGGAGAATCCTTCCTTGTCTCTTCCTAGCATCTGGTGGTTTGCTGGCAACCCATGGCATTCCTTGGCTTGCAGCTGAAGTACTTCAGTCTCTGCTTCCAGTCAGTGTTCTCCATGTGTCTTTGTCTCCACATGGCATTTTCTGTGTCTCTTTTCATATAAGGACACCTACTGCAGTATGACCTTATTTTAACTTACATCTTAATTTATATCTTAATGAACACATCTGCAAAGACCCTATTTCCAAAAAAGGTCACATTCACAGGTACCAAGGGGAGAGGATTCAACATATCTTTCATGAGGACACAATAAGCCCCCATATTAGAAACTAACTGGTCCTCTCAATTCACTCCTACTCTCCCTTCCTTATATTCACATCACCCGAACTTGCCTCCCTCTACTCTCCAAAACCTCTATCCCAGTTCTTTACTTACTCATTTAAGAGTCTTCAGTAATGGGCCAGAAGGGCAACCTCCAATAGCTTGGAGTTAATAAAGGCCTGTTTCTATTGCCTAGAAGTTTCCAAGGAAAGGACATTCTTGTTCCAGTTTTGGGGATTCCAAAAGAAAAGATATGCTATGGGTGAATCCAAATGAGCAATCTGGATGCAGTTTCTTATAGAAGAATTATTATAAATTGTAGTGAAGGTCTTTAAGTCCTCAAATTAAAGGGTAAGTAAAATGCTACTGGTTGATGTAACCATCAAAAGGTCATAAATAGCATTACTTATAGAGGAAACTGCATCCAGAGTGTCAAACTATAATCTTAGGAAGGAACCTTTGGAATATATCCATTTGTAAGGAAAAGACTGCCTGTATTTAAAAAAAGTGTTAACAAAATAGCATAACAATGATGCAAATGTTCCTCAGTGGAGGCATCTTCAAGTACAGATTGAATAGTTTCAAGTAACTGATTGGGGCAAAAAGCCCAGTCAGTGTTTCTCACATTCCAGTCTATGTGTTCTGAAAATTTTTTAAATTCTGTATTTTATTTTGATAAAATTATATAATGCACATCAGGGGTGTCCAACCTTTTGGCATCTCTGGGCCACACTGGAAGAAGAAGAGTTGTCTTGGGCCATGAACTAAATATGCAAACACTAACAAAAATTGATGAGCAAAAAAAGGTTTTAAGTAAATTTATGATTTTGTGTTAGATCACCTTCATAGCCACCCTGGGCCACATGTGGCCTTGGACTGAGGCCTGGATACCCCTGACTGTGTATGAACATTCTGGATCACCCATGCATATAAGCTATAAATGAGGGATGACACACAATTCAGTGCTCCATTTGCATTATGAAAGCATAGGTACCAAGAAATTCCCTAAAATGACAATGCTTAATTTTTAATGTATTAGAAGCATGTCTGGCTGCTCTTATGTTGTCATATTCTAAAATCATAATGACAATCATAACTCAAGTACTCTGTATTTGTCATGTTTTTGCTCAGTTATAAAGATGAAATTTATGTTTTATAGTAACAACTTACAACTGAAAGATACCTTCATGGAAAAAACTTTAATTTTAAGAATTGAGATTTTTATCTGACATTCTGAAAATGACAATGTGGCAGAATGACATGAGCACATACACTATCTCAGACTAAGGAGAAAATAATATCTAAAGATGTGTTTGTACCAAGTGGAAACCAATGATACCATAATGTGCTGTATAATAAATAAAGGCTGTGTGACAGTTCCAAAAGAAGAAACTGGACGAATTAACTCATTACATAACACATGGTAATAGACAATGCAAAATAAAAAGTATTCCATATCATTATTTATAATATTGTAAGGGAATGTATTATGCTAATCCTTGCAACAGTTCATCAGCAGAATGTTTCACTGGAAATCCACAATGGATATTAACTTTTTCCCACCCTTGTATTGTGCGGCATACTATTAAACTGGCGCATTAAATTAAATGGTGGGGCATGCAAGGTACTGAGGAAAGAGATTAGAACTCATTTTAGGAGGAAGTTATGGGACAAGAGAGGACACAGAAGAGAGAACAAGTTAAAGAAGATAAATAAGCAAACCTGACAAAATGGAATGGTCCACATTTGGTTAATGAGAAGGCATAGGGATAAGCCCAATGGCCTTATATAAAGAAAGCTTGAATAAATTAAGTAATTTGGATTGGATCAAATAGTTTTTCTATTTCAGTTCAACACATATTTTCTGAAGGTCTTCTATGTGGTAGTCAATATAGTAGACACTGGAATATGAAGACCAGTGAAAATCAGACCTCTACACTCAAGGGAGCCATAGTACAATGGGGAAGACAGACACAAATAAATGCAATAAAATGTAATGAGTGAATAATCTAAGAATGCACACAACTGTTCAGGAGATTTGCACTTATCTCACCTTGAATGAAGATAAAATATATGTGTCAGCATATGTGTTAGGAATTTTCTCAGTATATGTCACAACTATTTCTCCTTGGAAGAAAAATCAATGCATCTGTTTTATCCTCACTAGGTTCTCAGTGTCCGGTACAGTGCCTGGCATATATCATTCCCTCAAGTATTTGTTGAATAAATGAATGGACATTGAGTACGGTTTGGTTTTAAATATACTATACATGACATAACTTTATTAGTAGGAGCTGGCAAAAATAATATTTCGATCACCAACTATCTACCTAAGCAAGATAAAGCAGCTGATCTGAGAATACTCCATTCCCCAACTCTTCTGTCTGAGTCTTAGGAGGAAATAAGCCAACAACAGATAAGTCACTGATTCTGATGTAATAACCTTGGGAGAGACAGAAGAATGAAGAACATTGATACGACAAAGGAAAAGAAGAAGTATTTATGAAAAGCCTTAAGCCTGGTCATGATGCAGACCGTTCTTGCTGGTATTGCAAATATTCTTTCTGGGTGATCCTCTTAGGCCCAACCCAATCCCTCTGACTTTCTCAGAACAGTAACCTACTGTCAAGTCAGCCACTTGTTTTACTTTACATTAACTACCACTACCTCATATAACGTGATCTTGCATTCCTCTGTGTTCCCACACACACGCATGTAAATTACAGGGAGCAGCGATTTCCTGTGTCTTGTTTCCTGCTACATCCCAGGCAGTTAGACAAGTGTTTAGCACATATTAGCTATTCAGTAAGTGCTCTCACACACAGCTATTCAAAGGGAAAGAATGTCCCAAACATGACAGTATCCTCCGGGATCAAGGATGGGACCATGGAAGTGCAGGTAGTTGAGAACAATTAGTAAGACAGAAAAGTGTTTGATAACTGATTGTAGGTGTTACGGGAGAGGGAGATGTAAAGCATGTACCGAAGAATGTATTACATGGTCTGAGTTTGTTAATTTTGGTCAATAATAATAACTTACATGTTTGACATTGAGAAAACAGGTCTGGGTGGAAATAGAGTTTCTATCCGAACGGAGGAAGAAGGATGTCAACAATGAGCGGTAGAGGAAGGGCATGCAGAGGACTAAAAACCCACGTAGGGGCTCAGAAGGAGGGGAGGCAGACAGTGACGTCATTAAAACGTGAGCGTGCAGAAGAGTTTTCAAAAGACTCAAGCGATTTAAAGGCTACAGAAAGGTCTTGCAGAATGCCAACTGAAGGAAAGTTATCATTTTTTCCCCTCCTGTAAGTGACGCATTCTGACACTCCTTAATTCCAGGCCTTTTCAGCGGCAAAAAACTCACTTGGCCAAAGTTGCACCTGTCCAACAATTAGGACTGTCGACAACAGAGAAAGCCCAAGTCATCCCTGCACTGCCTCCTCGTTCTACCCAAACATGTTCAGGTCGACACCTCTGCCCACCCTCCGCCGTCATTTCCCCGCCTTCTGCCGACCGCGCCCCGCTCCATTTACCTGTGCGGGGACCCACTGAGAGCGCGGGGGCTCGGGACGGAGGGGTGTGGGTCAGCTGGGGTCGCTGACTGCCCACTCCCAGAGACAGCTGGGACCGGAGGGCGCCAGCTTCCGGGTACAAGCCCCGCCCGCGCGGGGACTCCTGGGAATGTGAGCACTCCACCAATGGGTGCGGCAGGAGGGGCGGGACCTGTGCTTTCCCAGCCACCACACTTCCCAGGAGCCGCATTGCATTCTGGGAGTGGTAGTTCCGACTGGCGTACCGCGTAGTCGGTCACACTTTCAGGCAACAACTCTTGTAAACATCAAGCACTAGTCCTGCGGGAAAACGAGAAGATGCAGGGTCACAAAGACTTTACCAGCACTAAGTTGGCGGAATAAAGGAAGAGCTGATCTTGTCCCACCATCTCCCTTCTTAGTCTTAGCAGATAATATTGCCTGTTAACTTCACATACAAAATAGAATTCATCTGGAAGGAACTCCCTCTACTTTCGCCACAAAATTTTCTAACCTCCTCGGACACCCCATAAATCTTTTCTCCTTATCTTTTGCAACAACAACTACTACTACTACTAATACTACTACCAATCTACTTTGATCTAACCTCTCTCATCTGCTTTACAACCTCATTCCCTTTTGCCAACTGAGTCTAGCTCCACTGATGAACCCTCTATTTTTCCTTTTTACTACCAGCACTTAAAGATTGTCAAAGATTCTCTCATCTAAAATATTCCAAAATCATCTTTCTCAGCCCCACACCCCCCAAACCGCTCACCACACACAGACTTAACCTTGTGGTCTTTCTTCCACCTCTCCTTTCCAGTCAAAATTCTTCAGTGTTGCTGAAACAAATAGATAACTTCTCAAGAATTACCATATTTCAATTCTTCAGGATGTTACATGGATTATTCCCCTCCTTCTTGAAAACTTCTGTCTTAGTTTCAGCTGCTTTAACAAAATACCACAGATTGGATGGCTTAAACAACAGAAATTTATTTCTCACAGCTCTGGAGACTGGGAAGTTTCAGGCCAGGGTGCCAATATGGTCTCGGTCTGTTGAGGACCTGCTTCGTGGCTTGCAGGCTGCTGCGTTCTTTCTGTATCCTCACATGGCAGAGACATCATCTCTTTCACATCTTTTATAAGGGCACTAATCTCTTATAAAAAGGGATTCATGAGAGCTCCGTCATCATGGCCTAATTACTTCCCACAGGCCCTACCTGTAAACACCATCACTTTAGGATCAGGGCTTAAACATATAAATTTCCGTGGGGAGCACAAACAGTCACTTCATAGCGTTCTTTAGTCTCAGCCCTTTTTAAGATGTTTCATTCTCCTGGTTCCTTTCTCACTTCTGTGGCAGCTTCTCGTTTTCCTTTGAAATGTTCATGTTCCATAGGACTCTGCCCTAGACTCTTTTCTTTTCTTAGTCTTCACACTTTTGTGGGGTGGTCTTAACCATTACCATTGCTTTAGTTGTCATCAGTATGCTGATTATTCCCACATATAGGAAGTCCAGATAGAATTCCTGTAACTGAGAGTGAAATATCTAGTGACAGCTGGACCTCTCTTTCAGGCACCTAAAATTTAACTTACTATTCAGTTAGCCTAATACATTTTAACCCTCCTGTCTCCCATAACCTGCTCCTCCTCCTCTAATCCCATTTCAGTGACTGGCACAACCATGCAATCAATTGACCACACTAGAAAACTGGGTATCATTTTGAATGTGCTTACCCCTCAATGCTCACATCCAAACAATTACCAAGTCATTAATTCTACTCCTAAATATTTCACTTTCAAGATTCACTTTTCTCAACTTTAAAATTAGGATAATAATAATATCTGTATTTAAGGATTATTGCAATGATTAATAAGCAGTAGTACCAGGCAGAGAGTAAGCACTCGAGGATAATAAGTATTTATTGAACAAGCATTGTGTTTTTTAAAATGTTTTATTTATTTATATATATTTAGAGAGGGGAAGGGATGGAGAAAGAGAGGGAGAGAAACACTAATGTGGTTGCCTCTCATGTGCCCCTTACTGGGGACCCGGCCTTCAACCCAGGCATGTGTCCTGACTGGGAATCGAACCGGCAACTCTTTGGTTCACAGGTCGCCACTTAATCCACTGAGCCATATCATCCAGAGCAGCATTGTGTTTGTTATTAGTTCTCCTTCATCAGGCCTTAATAATTATAGCTAGCATATACTTTTACTTAGTTTATATTTAGAGAGAAATAAAATGGAGGGGACAAGAAATGGTGAGATATTTTGTGCAAGTTACCCTTACTCCATTCTTCATTATTTTTCTGAGTATGACACAATATATTGTAGTACTGATCATGAGGCACTATACACATGGCTCTACTCTCACATGTGCAGAATATACTCTGCCTTAGTTATTGTTACCAGGTCTGACTGGGCTATAGAGAAAGAAACTGAAATATACTCAGAGAATCATCACTAAAATGATCTGGGCACTAGAAATCAGAATTAATGTCTCTGTACCTGTTGTATCTTCTTCACCATCCCCTCTTCTCACTTGAGATTGTATCTAAAACACAATCTGATCACTTCAAACTCCTATTTAAAATGTTAATTGCCTCCCCATTATGGAAAGGATAAAGTCTAAGATTCAAAGCCTCCATTAACTGACCTCTCTCTATCTCTTCAGCTTTATACTCTGCTTCCCTCATCAACACAGCCTATTTTCAAGCTTGATTCTGTATGGTGATATTCACTCACCCATCCATTCATCTATCCACCCATTCCTTCAACAAATGTGTACTATATGCTCACCATGAGCCAAGCCTGTTCTGGATACTGAAGATATAGCATTGAACAAGAAAGACAATGTCCTTGCCTACATGGAGTTAGCACTTCAATACCATGCTCATCTGTGCCTCAGTGCCTTTGCACATGCTGCCTCCCCTGTCTAAATCTTATTTATTTTTCAAGACTTATCTCAAATATCACCTCCTTATTTTCTAGCAAAGTATATGCTTATTTTCTCAACTTTACCATCCTCTGCAAAGGTTTACTTTACATATTATTATTACTTTTATGCAATACCTACTCTTTGAGAGATAACACAGTATCTTATAAAGAGACTGAGTTTTGGAGAATAAATTACTCATTATTCTCTCCTAAAGTAGTATCATCTGATCTCTACAATTTGTATATCTAGCATAAGCTTTTACATTGGGAAATGGGAGAAGGTCTCTTTGACAAAGTAACTTTTAAGCTGAAACCTAAATGTCAAGGAGGAATTAACCATAAGAAGATGAGAGGGAACAGAAATAAAACCAAGGTGACTCATGGTACGGGAAGAGAGGGAGAATTGTAGGAGAGATCACACTAGCCCTGTTTCTGTTCCTCAAATATGTTAAGTGCCTTCCTATCTTAGGATATTTGCACCAGCTCTCTCTGCTTGAAGTTGTTCCATCTTTTCATCCTGTAGCCAGAGGGTCTTGCAAGGCTGTGTAAACTGGGATAAGGAGTTTGGATTTTATTCTAAGTGCAATGGGAAATAATTAGAGAGGTTCAAGCAAATGAGTGATATGATCTAATGTATTTTTTTTTAATTTGTGACACTTTTTTGGCATGATAATACATTGTCTATTTTGGCAGTAAATTAATATGTACAGCTTTTGAGATATGTGGGTTGGTTTCCAAAAAAATGCTTCTGGATATGTACACTAAAGTATATATGGAATTATTTAAATAGGTGGCTTTGCAATTTTATAATTTTCAAATTTAGGAGTTCTGTTGACATATCATCAAGTTACTAAAGCATGGCAACTCTTTCTTTGTAATCCATGATTTTAGACAGTTCGAGTTTATGGAGTAAAGTTTCCAATTTCCACTTTAGCTCCTGCATCTACCAAGCCTAGAATTATAAAATTTATGGTTTATATAGCCCAATCCAGTTTCCTACTTGTACACATGAGAAATGTTCTGGTCTTTTTAAAAAATTATATTTTATTGATTATGCTCTTCTAGTTGTCCTGATTTTTCCGCTTTGTAGTAGTAGGTGTCCTGTAGGTTCCAGTGACACAGACTCCCCTATAACCCAAGCTGGATATTACAGGTGTGTCATTTGTGTGTGCTGAGTACACCGTCCTCTTGTAGTTGAGCCTTGATTGCTGTTGGTAAGCCAATGGGAGGAATTTACCCAGGCCAGTCAGCTGCAAGGACTGGCTGTGACCACTGACCACCAACCTCTGCCCTCTGTGGAGGATCAGCTGTGTGGGGGCAGGGTGATGGTGCTGCAACGTGGTCTGTAGCTGTCCACTGGAGCACAGGCTCTGGGGTTTCCTGGGTAGTGCAAGCCAAGGTCAGCCCCCGACCTGTGTGTTTGCCTGGAGCCACCCTTCCTGAGCTATAAAGCAATCTGAGCAGCAATGGCTGCTACTTGTGCTTGGTTTGGAGAATCCCAGGCAAAACCAAATTGTGAATCTAGGCTGGCTGCTGCTAGTGCTACGCCTGGGGATCAATGAAGCCAGATGTTGCTTGTTTGCAAGGATTTAGGAAGTTGTGCAGCTTGAGCCACAAACAGCCATTCATATGGAAAAATAGCTGGGGTGGGCCTGTACATTGGGTTTGGCAGAGCTTCTGGGATCTCCAAGTTGGGCCAGTGTTAGCCAGGTGATGGAGTGTCTCAGGCACCAGCTTCCTGGCTTACTGGCCTTGTGGGCAGGGGTGGGTGGGGTGAGGGAGGACGGTGCACAGAAAAGGGACAATGGCCTCTGCTCACCTTGATGCCAGACACCCCAGTTTCTCCTAGTATGCCCTTGGCGCCTTTCATGCTGCTACCCTGGTGCTGGAGTTCAGAGGGAGTGAGTCTAAGTAGGTGAGTCCGCGTGTGGGTTCTTTAAGAGAAACTACTTGTGGCTCCAGCAGTTTCTTTCACTGCTGGGTTTTGCAGCCAGAAATTGTGGGGAGTTAATCTTCCTGGCACTGGAACTCTGGGCTGGTGGGGGCGCCTGGTGTGAAGCTGGGACTCCTCATTCCGAAATATCCCTACCGAATTTTTATCCACCAGCCATGCGGGTGGGACCAGCCCATTCCATGTCTGCACCCCTCTTACCAGTGTGGATGGATATGGTTTCTTTAATTCCGTAGTTGTCA